ATATTTATCTTGACTGACCAATATAGCTATTTACATAAAAACTTGAGAGCAATGGCAATGTGAGATATTCCTGAATCAGGCGAAGCAAGAGCTGTTTTTATAGAGCTGGGTTCCATGCACCTGCAGACGCCCTGACTCAGCATCTGCAGCTGAAGAGGCCTTCTGTTCTCCTGCTCGCTGCCTCTGGTTCCAACACCAATATTTCTCCACATCATTACCCAAATCCTGCCTAGATTTTTCACTGGTAGGGTGCGGCTGGTCTGGAAGAAGCCACTCGTGTGCGTTTAACAGCTGTCAAGGCTAATTTACAATAAGGCAGCGGGAATCAGAGGTGGAGAGGAACTAGTGTCAGCTACATTAGTTAACATCAAGTGAGCTCAGGACAATTCACTTATTAAAGAAAAGTTGAATTCAAAAGCAGTACAGTGCTTGCAGGGGTTTTGCAGCTAAAGCCTTACTCGGCTAATGTTAGCTAATGTTGGAAAAGCTCAGCTCGATATTGCTGTCATTATGACTGTATTATCATTATCCTGTATTTGTCATAGGTATCTACTGTGGCCAACTGTTGAGTAAACGCTAATAACAGTAATCTCTCTTGAAAGCTACTTTCCAAATGTCTGAGATTTCAGATTTTTGGTTGTTCTTTTACAAAATCACCTCACAAGAGAAGAAGTATGCAAAAAGCCACAAACTTTGAGAAGAACTACTGAAATGAATGTTCGAGTCAACTGTTAACTGTCAGAACTCAAACATGAAGCTGGCAGCGATACGGCTGCAGGTCCCGCGGCTGAGCGTTGGCTGACTGTGTGGGGGTGTCTGAGGTCAACTCTGCAGTATTTCCTCAAAACGCTTTCAATGTGCCATTATTTTGACCATAGTCCCTGCACGGCGCCTGAGCAAACTGACAGAGACATAAGTGATTCAAAAAAGATTGTGCGGGGGTTAATGGGGTCAGGACTTCAGCCTTGTGCAAAAATATTGATCAAATGCCTGATCACGCGCTCGGTGTAATGACAGATGTCAATCACTTAAAGTGCCTGTGTAACAACAATCACGATTGAAAAATTACTCAAGAGAAAATAACAATTATGGCACTATTAATGTAAACTATCTGAAATGTAATTACAATCTCAGAGCAGGTTAGACATATCTAGGGTGTATGAAAGCATTCATGAGGCTACACCACTACTCTCACCTGAAGTAAAGTATGTGTATGGAATGCTGCTTTCCCTCACTTCCTTCTATGCCACATATGGACTTTGACTTTGGTAACTGAGAGAGCTGTTGACAAGGATGCATAGGATTATTATTATTACTTATGGCACAACAAAATACTGATGACACGATAATTATAAAAAAACACCATCTGCATGTCCTGAATAAATACAGCTAACTGCATAACCCTTATACCAAAGTATTAAAGAGACAAGATCCACAGCCTGCTCATCATACAAGAAACATGGAAGCTAGGCTATCAAAGACACAGCTACAGCACCAATGAAGTCACTGAGAAGCAAAGTGTCAGACAACAAGGGGGGGGGGGTCTTCTCCCCTTTGGGGTCTCATACAGATACAGAGCCCCCCTTTAATCTGAGAGGCAAAGTGCATGATGGCATTAGTGAAAGCTCTTCCCTGCAACACTCCTTCCTTCTGCATTCCAGCAGTTAGCACCTGTGAAGGTAGATGCAGGCTGTCAGGGGACACTGTTTTACAGTCCTCTGATTTCTTTAACAGCACCCACATTTGGGTCGCGAGCCTAGAAGTGATGGATCCCTGTTTGACAGTACATGTGTGTATCCAAGAGCAGGGACCCCCACATAATCTACTCACCTCCTTCTACTAATGATTAATGGCCACAGTATGCATAGCATGTTAAGTTACCTTTCTATGGTTAGCATTGTGCTAGCTCCAAGCTAAGATGTTAGTTTGGTACGATGCGGCAGGGGTACGATTAGGTTTGAGAGATATGTACCCAGGACAGAGTGTCTTCAGTGGGGTTAGACGGTGGTGGGAAGGGAGGGGCTCTCCACCTCCTCCACCTTCTGCTCTGGGGAGCAGCAGAGGAAGAGACGGCTGCCCAGGCTCTTGAAGGCAAATCCAAAGTACATGACGTGACCCATGGCCACGAAGGACACAGAGATGATGACGAGCAGGCCGAAAGCCTCTGGGTTGGGGGCCAGAATCACCATGATGAAGTGCAGCAGGTCTAAGAGGTAATTCATGGAGTTCTGGACGCCGTTGATCACGCCGCGCTCCGACTCCATCACATTCTCCTGGATGAGCTGGGTCACTGTCAGGTCAAAAGACCACAGGCCTGCGAGAACAGAGCAACAGTCAGGGCTAAAGCCTCTTTACAGCCTCACTGTCAGCACTTTAACAGCACAGTGGCTGCTGCAGCAATTACCACACACAATGATTGGAATCAAAGGTTGCAAATATTGCTCTGACACATCTGTAGGTTTGTGTGAAGTTCCAGTTATTTATGAAGATGTTCAACCTGTGAACCAGCATGACTCACCGTTAGGAAGTCATCATTTAGGAAACAGGAAGTGAACACTACAAAGTTTTCATGGACACTGAAATACCTACACACAATTTAATTTCGAATAAAACAATAAAACAAATAATATGCACCATTTACTACACAGGTAGCGATGATCATTTGCACTTTGGGATCATAATCACTCCAATGTCATAGCATTTAGATAAGCAAGGGGGAACATTTGTAAAGCTGCCTCCTTCCTGTCATATCTGGATATGAGAGATCATAGTTTATGAGAAACAGAAAGTCTCTCCTGGGATCAAATCATCTATTTATTTTGTAATAAAAAACACAATTGGACCTATAATGTTTACTGTTTGAGTACTATAAGTCTAATACGGAGAATCCTTCGGGATAATAATAATAATAGGATTTAATAAATAAAGTCAATTATAATTCAAGTATATTTATGTTGTGGAGTAACTCTACTGATGCAAGACCATGTGCATGCACGTGTTCTTACACTACATGTTAGATAGAAACACATTAATTCAATAGATGAGCAATTTCAACCCTCCCCACCATTCTTCTATTGTTTGTTTGTGCATAGGCATTTTCAATGTACTTTATTTGTGTATTTCTAATTATGTTTGTCTTTGAAAATATATAATTGAATTTCAATGACAAATAAAAGGGTGGCTGTTATACTCACCAATTCTAGCAGCGATGACTCCAGCAAACAGAAGGCTGACAGACATGTAGGACTGCAGGGGGGGCAGCTCTTCAGCGGGGGCAGCAGTGGTGGCGTTGACTGCGGTGAGGAGGCTGGTAAGGGAGTGCTCGGCCTCAGGCAGCACCGTCTCCCCCATCAGGTGGGAGTATATGTCCTGAAAAGGCGAAACGCTGAGGTCGAGGGGGCTCCCGGGAGCAAAGACGGAGACCACACACAGTATGAGGCAGGACAGCTGGGCCGTGCCGGAGATGAAGCCTGTGCGGATAAGGCCGCACTTCTTGCGGACCCAGGTGAAGGCGACGGTGCCGCAGATGCCCGCTACAGCCGAGGCCCCCATCAGCAGGCTGAGCACGGAGCCGTTGAGGCCCTGCGTGTAGGCGTAGCCCGTGGTGATGCAGTCGAAGCCCAGCACCGTCATGTAGAGGAAGGACAAGGACATGCCGGCGAAGAAGATGTTCTGGTTGTAGTAGGCCACCCAGCCGGCCCTCAGGGTGCGCAGCGGCTCGCTCACCTGGTAGCAGCAGCTGTGCTGCTTTGGGGCCCCGGGCTTCACCATGGAGGCTTCAATCATCAGCGGCTGGGAGGACTCCTCCGGACTCTGGCCATTCTCCAGTTCTGAGGAGAGGACACAGGGAGAGCTGCAGTTATATTCAGTCTGAATCACCACACAGGACAAAACTCTCATGAGATACTTGGTACGAAAAATAAATACCAGTGCAAGGCTGCACAAACTACCTCAGAGGTAAAGACTTCCAGCTACGCATAAGGGAATACTTAAGTAGCTTACTTAAGGGCAAACAATAGGGAATCAAAGGGTTTTCCCTGAACACATCCTAAGGTCTTTAAGATGTTTGTTTTTATTTATTTTTTAAATCTGAGACATCCTTAAATAAAATGCAAGGGCTACCTTAGCCTAAGTGGTTTTACAATGGTTAGAATCCCACACAAGGTTCCTGCAGCTACCTTTGGGGGGGCTGAGCTGTTTGAGCTCCTGCTGCTGCTCTTTCTGTCCGCTCTTCATGGACAATGCCGGCGTCTTCTGGTAGACCGTCCACAGCAGCGCGTACTCCACACACATGGAGCACAGGTTCCAGCCTGCGATGAAGCCGCAGCCAATGAAAGGAGAGCCGAAGGCCATAATCTGACCCACCAGCATGGGGGCCAGGATGTTGGTCAGCTGGTCGATAATCCGTACGGTGGCATTCATGTCTGTTTAGTACAAGAGGGGAAGAGAGTTTCTATACAGCTGATTTAACTCATATCAAGTTTGACATTCATATAACAGCAGGTTTGATTGATGGTCATAGCACAGCAAGAGGATACAGATCATCAGGTTCATGGAGGTTGTTCAAATCTTTGAAATAGTTTATAACAATCAGGGGGAAACTGCAGGGACATAGAGGGTAAAACAGAGAGTGAGCCAATATCTGGGGTTCAAAGTCTGCTCACTAAAGTCATCTGATAACAGGTCACATGAGGTTGGGTGATAAGCCGGCAGAAACACTGACCTGCCAGCGTGCTGCTGTCCTGCCCCGCCACCACCACCACCCAGTCCCTCTGGATGGTGATGGCCGTGGCCGTGCTGGCTAGGTTTGCAATGTTGGCGACGCTGATCACCAGAATGTAGCATGTGGTCTAAAAAGAAAAAGAGGATATTTTTATGTTTTCTATTACATTTGATTAATATCTAGACTGTTCAGTATGAAACAAAAGACAAATATATATCATTAATATATACAGCATGGTCTGTATTGCTAATACCACAAACTATTAAAAACACATTAAAGCTGCACTGGATTCTTTCATTACCATGAAAACACTCTCTGTAGTTCTCCTTTTGACTCAATTCCACACACACTCTCCTGCTGTCTAAGTATACTCATTAATGCTGTACTTCTTGAGCGCTTTGGTCTGTGACCCCTTCAAATATCCTTTGAAAGGCTCCAGTATATCACAAGCTAAAGATCTTGGGACGCCTCAGATTCACCCCACCCTCGAGGTGTATGCACAGTGTATTAATCCACTGCTAAATATAGTCCCGAACAAAAGTGGTATTTACTCCTGTGAAAGTAACCTACATTTTGGAGGTGTGTTATGTAAGATTGAACCTTTTTATTTAAATTAAATCAAGTAAAGAAGATACGTTATGCAAATCCCACAAACTACTATCACATGTCATCTGTAATGTAAAGAGGAATCAATAACTATCTATATAACCCACTGTGAACAATAGCTGTAGATAAAAAAGGAGCACAACAGCTAATTGAATATTTGACCTCCACCGCTGCAGTAATAAAGAAAATGTGCGACAACATTGTGAGGAAGCTGCTCGGGTCAGAAACAGCAGAAATGTTTCAACAGGCCGGGCCACATTTCTCCCTCTGTCATGTGACGGGTCTTGAAGAACCTGCTGACTACACACAGCCTTCAACTGCACACTCAATCTCCTGTTTCACACTCCTCCACCACCTCCACACACACATATCCCTCTAAACACTCTCACATGGCTGGAATCCCTTCTTTCTCTGGGAAGTCCAACAAATGCAGAGGGCCACACTGAGGACATTCTGGGCAACAGAAAGGCGTTTGTTTCGACCTGACACCGCGACGGGCTAGCTCTGCAGAGTCAGGTCTTTGTGTGGAGGCAGATCTCAGGACACATAGTTCAACAAGTGTAAACAAGACACTCCTTATCCACACACACACACTTCAGAAGAACCGGTGTGGGATGACCTCCCATGCATCACATGTCTGTAACATTACCTCATTATTTAGGATTCTTTACAAAGCTCTGTTTTTGGTTAAAAAAAAGTTCAGGTTCAACAATGATTGAATAAAATGAGAATTTTTTTACATTTCCAACATTGCTGTTTACATTCAGTTTATTTATTTGCAATACTGTCAATTATACCTTTGAATTACAGTTTAAAATAATGACTACAAAGTTTGTTAAGTGTTTAGACTGATGACATGGATGTTCTGGGACCACTAAGTACTTAAGGTTAGATTAATTTAATGAATGATTTGGTTCGTGTTGGGTGTGTTTTAGATGAATATGTTTTTTTGTCTAATATATGAACTCTTTCTAATTCTAGAAGTGTTAGTAATATGTGTTAATAATATCTATTGTATTTAGTTACTATTCAGTGTCTGGGACCCTATACTAAAGCTTCAGATCGTTTTTTGCATGCCCCATTTCACACATCTCCATTATGTCTAACGATTTTACTTTTAAACTGTTTGTAAATGAAATGAATTCAATACAAGCAATATTTAAGACGTAGAAATAAATTTTCTTTTTTGTGCTTGAATTTCCCTTTTTTAAGTACATTCATCAGATTTGTATTGCCAACGACTGCTACGCTGTACTTGTTGTGCATCTGAAATTGAAACTAATTGAAACTAATACTGCAAGAGTATCCTGTACACCATGATTTAAGTTATTTGATACAGCAATGACAACAATAATTTGTTGAGTAGAACAGTTAAAGGTCTTCTGGAAGTTACATACAATCATTTGCTCATCTGTCAAAGCTCTTCAGGTGCTCATAAAATCACATGGATCAGTAAAAGAAAGCAACTTTCAATCCCAGGGTCAGAGTGTTGTACTTGAGGTAAAAAGGTTCAAAAAGCATTCGGTTGAAACCCCGATCAGATGTGATTGAATGTGACCTTACCAGAATCCATCCATTGTAAAGCTCCACAAGCTGTTCTTTGAACTGGAAAACAACCATGAGAAGGATCCCACACACGATAACGCAACTGTTCTGGATGAGCAGCGAAGTCTGGGCCACTGTGGAAACACCACGACGGACATTAGGGACAGAAACCTGATCAAAGACAACAGATGTCTGTCTGATATTCATTAGAGCGCTTCAGCAAGATGGTTGGCTGCATTCCACACTGCCTTATCTGATCTAATAATGGCACATTCCTCTGAATAAACATGGCACAAGAGGTGCATTTAACTGTGAAAATGAGGAAGGGGGGATAATAGCACATGTTCACACTGTATACAACACTGTAATGCCAGTCCCTTTGAAAGTGCTGTATCAGGATAAGATCTGAAAATACTTTTGGCATTTTGATCCTGCACACTTATGTTACAACACCCCCTAAAGCTTCCCTTTGATTTGTGCTGTCTTACCTTTAAGTCTGGGATTTTTGTCAACCCAGTCCCCAATGATGGCCCCCAGCAGCAGCACGGAGCCGGCCACCACCAACCCGTACACGGCCGTGAGCAGCAGGCTGTTCCCGTACAGCTCCACCAGGAACACCGCCACGGCAAAGTTCCACATTCGGTCCCCCTGGAAAGTTAGATCCTGGTTATTTTAAGTCAATGCTGATCTTTAATAAGACCTGCAGGTTAGGGCTGATAATAATCCTCTCTGTTTTCAACAGCCTCTTCACCTTCCTGTGCAGCGATTTGTATTGTGTGGTGAGCGAAACAGGGAAAACATGTCATTTTGTAATGACAGGTATAATGACACAATGCAACAATTATACACTCATGTTGTATTACATTGGGTTGGACACAGAAACGCTACATATGTACCCTGTCATCATGAGAATAAAGATATGATGGAGTGTCTTTTAAATAGACAATAATGTGATGTGATGTGAATTGTCATATTGTGTGTCTCTCTTACCCATGTAGACAGGGCATGTCCCATGTAGATAAGAAATTTGGCTGAAGTGAAGAAGTCCCGGACAGACACTGAGGATAGAATAAAGACGTTATCCATCCTCTCCAGGCATGTAAGGTGTGAGGGAATATGTTGTCATAAAGATTGCAATGAAACATAACCTACCACAGCATGTCTTATTGGGTCCAGAGTTATCCATGGTAAAGCTGTGTGAATGGCAGAAATGACCGAGTGAATATGTCTGTTTACGCTGTCTTCTCTTTGTGATTTGTGGTGGACCGCGGTTACAGTTGGGTCTCACTGTCAGCGACAATAAGACAAAAAGACACGGCGTTTCTCCCTTTTCCTCCTTCCCAAACTTAGCTATCACTGTAGCTGAAGTCGGAAATAAATAGTTGTATAGGCTAAAAGGCCGGTTGATCGCTCGAGCACACGATTAACAGCTGAAGAGCCCCGCTCCGCCGACCGTTAGCTGAGTTGTGCTCTCTCTGTTTACCTCCCGCTTATACTCACGCGACATTTTGGGGGGCGGGAGCTCAAGTGAGAAAAAGGTCACTCCCATAATCATTTATAGAAAAATGTTTTAAAACAAAAAGTTAAATATAGTTGCACTTCTCTGACTTACTGACCAATTTATTTGAATACCCTCACACTCACGCAATTGTTTAATACTCAACAGAATTCTACAAAATAATCAGCTAACACAGAGACAATGGTTTTCTTTAGTGTTCACTACGCACAAGAGCAGACAACAAACTAGTGAAATAATAGTTATTAAATGAGCAGCCAACAATCAAAATTATGAAGTTACTGTTTATAAAAACATCGTTTTTTCATGTAGGCCTACTTGTAAATGTTGTTATTTTGGTCTATTTTGCTTCCATGTTTTCTTTCACTCAAGAAAACTTCCAAAAACANAAATAAATGGTGTTCGTTTTACTACCATGTCTGAATTCATCTTTAGATTTAAAGCTAATCTGCATATTTAAACATGACATTTCAGGGTAAAATACTGACTTGTAAAGTAACGATTTATGTAGAGAGTGACGAAGTAGCGAATTACTTTAAAAAAAAAAAAAATGTAATATGTAATATATTACTTTTTTTTAGTAACGACCCCATCTCTGGTGGTCCGTGAGTATATTGGTAAAATGTCGCATTTTAAATAAATAAATAAATGTAAGTCTTCCGCACTCTCGCGGAAATTTCTTCGCAATGGAGCGAGCTTAAGTTTCACTTTTGATTACATGATATAGCCCAGCGCAACACCTTCATCACACATGTTGCCACTTGTTTGTACCATTTTCAGTCGATTTGTAATCTGTTCTAGAAAAACGATGTGATTTTGGATATTTGTGGAGTTAGGTGGTCTGCGAGTGTTTTATTATTGGCTAAGTGGTCCTTGGTGAAAAAGTTTGAGAAACAGTGGAGTAGAGACTAGAGAGCATCGGAATTTCACAGTCTAATCTCCTGACCTGATATTTTCATTTTGTATTCAATCAATATATTTTTGGAAAGGGAAACTGTGCGCAAACAGCAGTAGATATAATTAGGGCCGGGACTCGATTAAAAAAATTAATCTAATTAATTACAGGCTTTGTAATTAATTAATCGCAATTAATCGCATTTTTAATCGCATATAAATATTTGACCTGAGAACAGTGAGAAGCAATTTTTTTCACATGGATTTTAGTATACCATTGAATAATGACTGAATACATAAGCTTAAGCAACAAAACATTGTTTATTTTTTTCAAGGAGGTTCTTAACCAAGACCAACAGAAAAGTGCAATTTTTGCCATAAAGTGTAGCAATAGCATATTTAGGAATATAGTACATTTCAGAGATTCAGGTAGCCTATAGGTAGGTACACCTTCTGTAAACTATAAGACTTTGTTTTTTAAGTAAAACACAATACTTTCAAGTACATTCAGAACATTGGAAACCCTGACTATTAGAAAACATCTCTCTGTTGCTTCAGAGGCCATAACAGACTTTGTTGATTTACCAACAGTTGATTTAAAAAATCTAATAAATTTCCGTCCAACTCTCTCAATAACCTTGGCCAAAACAATAAACAGTTCAACATAAAGTGCCAGTTGCACCAACAACGTAATAAATAGTTCAACATAAAGTGTACCATTTAAAATAAAATAAAAAAGTGCCAGTGATTGACCTCAATCCCTCCTATTCTTCCAATATCCTGATGAAAAATAAAATCTCTCTGTTGCATAGGCCACTGTTTGATCAACGCGAATTGGGTGTGGGTCCTTGTACTCCGAGTCGGGCTAACGTCCACGCTAGCTGCT